ACTCCACACAGAAAGACCCCGGCCTGATGTTGGAATTGAACTCAGGACCTTCTTGCTGTGCGGCAACAGTGCTAACCACCGTGCCACCGTGCTGCCCAAACCAAATGCCATCAGGTAAAAAAAAAAAAGTCTGGCCATATCTTCTCTGCCCAAAAACTCAGACAAACACTGATGTAACCTTAGCCCTCGTCCTCAGACAGATACTTGTGGTGGATACTTCCACCAAAAAGCAGACAGAAACTGGCAGCCCTTTAGAAACCAAGGAAAAGTTTTGTCTTTACTAACATTCTCTGTCACACTAAAGATAAATCACTGGTTGGTCTCTTCTTGAGCTCAGTCCTTTCAGCCTGCCAAATGGTTGCATGGTTCATACAAACTGAAATTTGGCTATGCTCGTCAACAACAGATGGATTTGCAAACCACAGGAAAATAGAGTCTAATGCTGCTCTCTTCCAAACTTCAACCAAATGTAGTTATCAAAGAAGTTAAGGAAACCAATCTAATCAGAACCCTGTGCTTTCACACTACAGAATACCACAACATCACATCTACAGGACAGCAAGTAGGTTGCATATATTACACATATATTACACATATATTACACGCACACATTACATTTATTGTTACATATATCTGCATGGTGCCCATCAAAAGTTGGATTACGGTGGTACATCAGCTGTCATTTACTTATCGAGGACATAAAATATTCTCAAATTCATCGTTAATAAATAAAAACCATGTGTGCATACTTAATATACATACTGTATGTCTAATTTTTAACAGAACATTTTTTTAGTGGGTGTGGGTAAACAGCAGGAGTGGAGGGCAGTGGGTCTACGGCCTGAGAGGCCTTCCTTTTCCACCACCAAAGTTCCTCCTTCGCTCCCACTACACTTTGCATTCCCAAACATCTAACTCACCACTGGAGCTTGCGTCATTGTGCCCTGACTCACTCACTAATGCACAATGCACACACACACACACACACAGCAGAGCAATGGCAAATTACTGAGCCTAGTTTTCAGGATCTGGTGACCTGAAGCATTTCCTCTTTCCAACACAGCACCAAAAATCTAGGAAGTGTGTTTCCAACACCGAGCCAAGGCCTTTGGAGTGTTTTTCTTTGGTTATAAATGTGTTGTCAGAGTGTCTGTACATCTCTTGCTCTCAGGGTAAAGTCAACAGCTGTGGAGGTCATTCATTAATCTACCATGCCTGGGCTGACATTTGTAAGAGGACCAGACTGCCTGTAACCCCTCACTATCTGTGATATCACAGAGCCAGCGATACAGCGGGAATAAGAAGAAGCTGTCTGCTCGGCTGCACCTTGGCCTCCTGCTTTTTCTGTCTCTTACCATCTCTTCTTCTTTTCATCACTCTTTGTTACGCTGTCGGTCTGAGTTAGCCAGAAGAGCCATTTTCCAGCCTGTCCAATGCTACTCAAGCTCCTTCGATCCAGGAAAAACAAAGAATGCGAAAACAAAAAAATGGAAGTGATGGACACTTTGAAAAACAGAGCCATTCTTAGAAAAGAGAAAAAGGGAAAACAAAACAAAATAGCCCCCGCTTTCACTTCTTTTTTAGATGCTTTTAAAACACATCAAGGATGACTACCTTGCCTTGGAATAGGCTTATCGAGCAGCACAAGTCAAATCAATCTGTGACCGCAGAACAAGGCCTTGGATCCCGTCCTTAAACTTCCCTGCAGTTTAATCATGTGTAGTTTTGTATTTTTTTACTTTCACTTT